ACCCTCTGGGTTCGTCCATTTAACCAATTACAGATCCACCTCACCATAGTTTTGCCTAGCCCACATTGGACTTGTTTCCTTGCCAGAAGGTCATGGAGGACCTTGTCGAAGGCCTTACTGAAATCCAGGTATGCTCCATCCACGTCATTTCCCGCACCTACCCAGCTTGTAACTCTATCGAAAAAGAGATCAGATGAGTCTGGCATGACTTGTTTTTCATAAATCCATGTTGACTATTAGCAATGACCGCATTTGTTTCTAAGTGTTTGCAGACCATTTCCTTAACAATCTTTTCCAGAATCTTGCCCGATATAGACGTGAGGCTGACCGGACGGTAGTTGTTTGGGTCATCCTTTTTTCCCTTCTTGAAGATTGGGACCACATTGGCCCTCCTCCAATCTGCTGGAACTTCTCCCGTTCTCCAAGAACTCTCAAAGATGGTTGCCAATGGTTCCGAAATGACTTCCGCTAGTTCCTTCAATACTCTGGGGTGTAGTTGATCTGGCCCTGGGGACTTGAACTCATTAAGAGCGGCCAGGTATTCCTGGACGACTTCTTTCCCAATTTGGGGTTGGATGTCCTCCAACCCCAATCTCTTCTCATCTATCTCTTGACTGATCTCTTCTCATCTATCTCTTGGCTCATTATCTATTTTCTCTCTTGGCTTGTCATCTATTTGCTCATTAATTTCTGCAGGTGCATCCCCACACCCCTCATGGACATTATCATGGGAAACATGGGATCTCCTGGTCATTCTCTGCATCAATATCACTGCTATCTTGAAACTCATCTTGAACCTCATTAACACCATTCCCTATATCCAAAGCACCCTGATCCTGAAACACAATCACAGGCTGAACTCCAACAAGTACTTTATGTTGAGTTATACCTGCAATCTCCTGCAAAGAATCGTTGCCTTGTCGTGGTGCTGGAGCTTGAGCACCTCGATGATGCCATGAGTGAAACTGTGAAGGGATACCAAAGACAGAAAGGTCATGGCAGAGAGATCAGACCAAATACGATCCCTGAAGAAGGTAATGGCAATCCACCCCAGTATTCTTGCCATGAAAACTAAATGGGTCTGTACAACCAGAGATATGTCAATATACCATTGGAAGATGGGACTCCCTGTTGCATCCCAGATCAGGAAACGAGACCATAAGATTCAATCCACCACACTGGACTGTGAGAAAAACAATCCTTTTTTATTGATGAAAAATGGTTACAAAAGAAAAGTAAATGCAAAGTCAAAAAGCCACAGTAGAAACTCAGCAGTCAGGAAAAATCTTTGAACTTGAGCAAAATTCCAAAAACAACAATACAGACACCAGGAACCTGTTAGCATCACTAACCATACTTGAAAACTAGAAGCCTCTGGGAATGCAGGCCATGGAACGCAGGAAAACTGCCAAGGTGCTGCCTCAGTCTAAAACGTTGCTTGATCTAATGAGACAACCGGGGGGAGGCCCCTTAAACCAAAGAAACTATTTCTTGAAACGCCTCCAGACTTTGAAGCCTCCCTCTCCCGTAATCCATTTGACCTTCGTAGAAACCGTGATTCACTCCTGTTTTTCCAAATCTGTTCCCTTCGGTCCTCATTAAAAAACCCAGGTGTGATTCCCTCTGGAGAGCTATCACGGCCTGATTCCAAAACATTCTCATCAGGCTGTTCAGTTTCACTTTCCCCGCCACTGACTTCAGCATCAAGGGTTTCAACACTATCAGGGAAAGATACATGTTCAGTGGCTTGCTCAGTTGCATCAGGAAATACACTCAGAGAATCAGGTTCACACAGAGATTGAGGCTCAGTTTCACACGGAGGTGGCTGAACCCCAACACTCCCAGGTTGGAAAGATGGTCAAAATGCTACTGGGGAGGAACAGAGGGTAAGTTCAACTAGCCCCAGATGTGGAGAAGATAATGATGCTGGGAAAAAAATGGAAGGAAAAAGGAAGAGGGGCAGACCAAGGACGAGATAGATGGATGGTATCTTTGAAGTGACTGCTTGACCTTGAAGGAGCTGGGGGTGGCCACAGCCGACAAGGAGCTCTGGTCCATGAGGTCACAAAGAGTCAGAAGCGACTGAATGAATAATAATAAAAAACACCTGCAATCCATCTTATACAAAGGCTAGCTTCTTCCAGGCAATCAACCTTTCCCAAAAATGGTAGCTAAAATCCTGCATTGCATTGGTAAATGTAATAGAAATAGCTAATGCTATGTCTATTCCTCTTTCCTTGAACATATTGGGGATTTTCCAAAAATGTTTCTAAACTGTGGATAAAGCATGCAAATGAATTTCCCTGAAAATAGCTAATAGACCATTGCTGAATTCTGTGTTTTGTATAAGATTCTGTGGTGTAGGGCAAAACTATACAAGAACCACACTAAATCAAAACTCAAAGTAAACGATGCTTATAGATACAAACTAAGTACAACAATTTTATTTCACTCCTAGATTCTTAGAGTTCCCAAACTATGTTGTAAGGGCAATAGAGGTTAACCGTTGCCCTCCAGCAATTGGCATTTATTAGCATATTTTAAAATTAAATATGGATAATTAATCTATGACTAATAATTATTGATGTTCCAGTTCTCACATCATATCACTTTGCTAATCTGGTGTCTGGAAGAAAAATCCATATGTCTACAGGTCATGCTTTGACATTCCTTGATATGTACCAAAATATGATAGTTGTACCCATACCACCTGAACAGTATAGGTTATTTATTTATTTATTTATTTATTTATTTATTTATTTGAAGACGGCTCGGAAGCTCCAGCTAGTCCAACGCTCGGCAGCCATGATACTAACAGGAGCGGAGCGCAGCTTGGTCAGGTGCTAGTTGTGTGAGAATTTGGAATCTATTGTGTAACTGCAGCTGAGCGGAAGTATTCTGAGGAGGCTTCCGGGTCCTATGTGTCCTTCTAAGGGTGACATTTCTCCAAGCCTGAGGGTTGTCGACATCTGAGGTGCTGTTCTGTTGAGCCTCCTCGTAATGTTGGTGTGATATGGGCTGCGTGTCTAGGACAGTGTGGTGTGTGGTGTCTAAGAACAGCTCAAGTTCCTGAATGTCCTTAAGGGTGTTAATACGGTCCTCGAGTTGTCGTATCCTGTGTTCCATGCGAGTGATCTGTGTACACTTGGGGCAGATGTAATTGAGTAATTGTAGTGTGAAAAAGCTGAACATGCCACAGCTTGTGCATGAGACGGGAAGTTTTCGTGTTTGTTCCATCTGGAGGTTGCTAATTACCTCCTCTTGGTGTGTGTTTGATGTTGTTGTCTGTATGCAGGGGTGAAAGTATAGGTTACTGAGTGTACGAGTTCGCGCGCGCCAGGCGCGCGCGACACTGGTTTATATAGGATAACCAGGAAGCCCCGCCTCTCAAACAAAGCAGTTAATTTTTAAACTCAGGAAGCCTCTCCTCTCAAACAAAGCAGTTAATTTTTAGGACTTTTTGAAGGACTTCCGCTAGTTCCTTCAATACTCTGGGGTGTAGTTGATCTGGCCCCAGGTAGAGAGCATTGCAGTAGTCTATACAGGATGTAACCAGAGTGTGGACCACCATGGTCAAGTCAGACTTCTCAGCTGGCACACAAGTTTGAATTGTGCAAAAGCTCCCCTGACCACTGCTGAGACCTTTCTGCCCATGAGTGCTTCTTCCTTTGTTTACAAAATGCTGGTCCACTTTCTTTTCCTTTTCTCTCTCCTCGTTTCTGTTTCCTGGGCAAACCCCATATCCTGTTTTTTTTTTTTTTTTGTTATTTAGAATCAGCAAAACCTCTGCGATGAGCGAGATGCAGCAAAAGCAGAATTGCAAGAGTTTCATCAGCAGCTGGAGGAAATCCTGGAGGAAAGGGACACCTTCCAAAGGCGGCTGGAGGAAAGCGAGAAGGACCTCAGGCAGAACCTGGAGGAGTGAGTTTCACCTGGGACACGCTCTCCCTCCAGAATGGTCCCTGTAGGTCAGGCATGGGCCAACTTGGGCCTTCCCTCTGGGTATTTTGGACGTCAACTCCCACCATTGGACTGGGTGCCCCATGAGGTCTCTTCCGACCCTATGATTCTATGAACTGTCCTGGTTTGGGGATTTTTGGAGATGCAGTCCAAGGAAGTCCTTGTTCTAAGCTCTCAACTCCCTCCATGGGTCATCCCTTGGGTCATGACTGAAACAGGATGCCTTTAAAAGGACTGTTTTCCTTCTTCCTTTCAAGGCTTTTCCAAGTAAAAATGGAGAGGGAGCAGCACCAGACGGAAATCCGGGACTTGCAGGACCAACTTTCTGAAATGCACGATGAGCTTGATTGCGCAAAGCATGCGGAAGACGGCGAGAGGGAGCTCCTGATTGAGGTGAGCCACATAATAATAATAATAATAATAATAATAATAATAATAATAACAATATTAATAATATTAATAATAATTAATTAATCCATAATCAATACAATAACAATATTAATAATATTAATAATATTATTAATAATAATTAATTAATACATAATCAATACAATAATAATCATCATAATAATAATAATAGTAAACTTTATTTGTATCCCACTACCATCTCCCCATGGGACTTGGTGCTCGGGGAAGCTTACATGAGGCCAAGCCCTATAAATTATATATATATATATATATATATATATATATATATATATATAGCTATCTAGTGTCAGGAGCGCACTGAGAAACTGCAAGTTGCTTCTGGTGTGAGAGAATTGCCGTCTGCAAGGACATTGCCCAGGGGATGCCTGAATTGGTGTTTTTACCATCCTTGTGGGAGGCTTCTCTCATGTCCCCGCATAGGAGCTGGAGCTGATAGAGGGAGCTCATCGCACACTCTCTCTGGATTTGAACCTGTGACCTGTCGGTCTTCAGTCCTGCCAGCACAGGGGTTTAACCCACTGCCCCACCGGGGGCTCCAATTAATAAATGATTAATAATTGTGCCATTTATTTATTTATTTATTTACTTACAGCTTTTCTCTTCCGCCCTTCTCCTCACCCCGCAGGGGACTCAGGGCGGATTACAGTGTACACATATATGGCAAACATTCAATGCCAATTTTTGACATACAAACATATACAGACATACACAGAGGCTATTTAACTTTTTCTGGCCACCAGGGGAGCTGTCGCTTTCATCGTCCATCTGCAACACTGATGAAGCACTTCCGCATTCCCCGCATGCTTCCCCGCTGGAATGCTTTGCTGGAGTCTTCTTTTTATGGCCTCATAAATCAGTTAATTTCTATCACTTTCATGTTTAACTGGGATTCTGGGGATTGTAGTCCAAAGAGGGAGTCCCTGATGTTCGACCTCGTCTTGAGAACATTGAAACTGTGAGCTTACATATTGTGATTCTTGAAAGGAGATTCCATCTGAACATGAGGAAGAACTTCCTGACTGTGAGAGCCGTTCAGCAGTGGAACTCTCTGCCCCGGAGTGTGGTGGAGGCTCCTTCTTTGGAAGCTTTGAAACAGAGGCTGGATGGCCATCTGTCAGGGGTGCTTTGAATGCAATATTCCTGCTTCTTGGCAGAATGGGGTTGGACTGGATGGTCCATGAGGTCTCTTCCAACTCTATGATTCTAGGAGTCCTCAGATGGATGTTCTGCTGTTTTCCTTTTCTAAAACCTCTCCAGGAACTGATGCAGCTGAAGCAGGACCTCCAGGCCATGCTGGTGGCCAAAGAGCAGCAGGAGGACGTTCTGAGGAAGCGAGAGCGTGAACTGACCGCCTTGAAAGGAGCCCTGAAGGAGGAAGTGTCCACTCACGACCGAGAGATGGACCAACTCAAGGAACAGCATGACCAGGAGCTCCAGAAACTGAGGAAAGGCCTGGAGGAAGCCACAGAGGTTAGTGCCCAGGGCAGACTGTTGTGGCTCAGTCTGAGCCTGAGTTTCCTCAGGGTGAGGAGGATGATGGGTTACAGATTTCTTGCTAACAAACGGGAAGTTCAAGGTCAACGTAATGCTTTCATGCTAGGAAAGCTTATTTAACGATCTGATTGCAGTCAATCCTTTGTCAGTGCAACTTTGCTTATACCCTGTTAACTTCTCTGGAATTGCCTCGGCTTTTGGGAAAGCTTTTGGCTCTTTGGGACTTTGGTTTTGATCTTGGTTTCTGGAGGAAGCCACAGAGGTTAGTGCCCAGGGCAGACTCTGTTGTGGCTCAGTCTCAGCCTGAGCTTTCTGAGCCTGAGTTTCCTCAGGGTGAGGAGTATGATGGGTTACAGATTTCTGAATATGTCCCTGTTGTTGAGGCAGACAGTGTTGATACTGAAGATGAGGCGGCGTTTCAGTTTCCCAGGGAAAGGAATGTGGTATTAGAAGATGGTCATGATTTCGGGGAGACTTCACAGCTGCAGGTGGAGGAGTTGACTGCTCCATCTGTGAGCTCAGTGCCTGTCGATTCCCAGGCTGGCCAGTCCCAGGATAATGAGTTATTCGGCCTTGAAGGTTGTAGTGAAATTGCTACTCTATGTTAAAATTTTGGTGTATAGCTCTATGTTTACATATGGCAGATAGGGAAGAATAGGCACAGACAGGGTAGCAACAGCAGAGATAGGATTCATTTGAATATGTGAAGCCGATTGGTCATATGCAGATTCGTGTAGGCCCAGGATTTGAAAAGGCTGCTAGGCCAAAATGACAGTTGGGGAGAGCAGAGCTGATCATTCCAAAGGGGCGGAGTCAAGGTTCTGAGAGAGACAGTTAGAGTGAGGGAGTTTGAAAACGACAGTTAGGAATCTGTGTGTGAAGAGGAGAGTTGGTTTTTGAGTGCCTGATAGAAATAAGCAGTTATGAAGATGTGTTAAAGACTTCTGATATAGAGAAGCATTCCTTTCGGTCATCTGGAGAGGCCCTGCTCACGATCCCACCTGCGTCGTAAGCGTGTTTGGTGGGGACGAGGGACAGTGCCTTCTCTGTGGTGGCCCCCCGACTCTGGAACTCTCTCCCCAAGGACATCAAACAAGCTCCAACATTGGCAATCTTTAGGAAGAGCCTGAAGACCTGGCTGTTCCAGTGTGCCTTTCCGGATTAGGAAACTCCTGGCATCATGTCCCAAATGCACTTTGTCAGAGACCAGGATTGTTAGTTAAATAGAACACGAGTTTTAAGGAACATAAAGAAGGCTAGTGTTGCCTTAGTTCAGAAAATAATTCAGCCAAGAGTGTGTGAAGCAAGTAACGTGTTTGTGAATTTGAAACATTGATAGTTTATTCAGAAAAGTTAACCAAGTAAATGATACTGACTGTAAGCCTCAAGATTGCAACAAAACACAAATGTAACTACAAGCGTTGGAGCCAGAAGTTATAAATAAACTGCGTTACTTTGTTATACACAAGAGTATTTCATTGCCTGCGATATAAAGTACAAAGGTTTAACAGCACACAGAAAGTCCTTGCCAATATAAAAGAAGACACTGAATCAGTATAAGATAGCAAAGAGGTTTTTAGAGAGGAAATAGTCTCTCTCCCTCACCTCAAAGGTGATGGGGATTTAGTTAGGGAGGACTGTTTGCAATTAAGGATACGCGAAAGTGCTCGGCTTGCTAACAAACGGGAAGTTCAAGGTCAACAAATGCTTTCATGCTAGGAAAGCTTATTTAACGATCTGATTGCAGTCAATCCTTTGTCAGTGCAACTTTGCTTACACCCTGTTAACTCCTCTGGAATTGCCTCGGCTTTTGGGGAAAGCCCTTGGCTCTTTGGGACTTTGGTTTTGATCGTGGTTTCTGGGGACTTTGTCATGCTGCCATGGATTCTTGTTTGACCCATGCTTTTGGGTTATTTGCCTTTGGACCTTGGAAACTCTGCCTTTGCATTTAAGACTCTGTTTTGGGCTATTGAACCTTTGCAAACTTATTTCTATGTTTTTGATTTTTCTTCAGTAAACTACAAAACCTACAGCCTTGGTGTGTGGTGTTGTTCTGAGCAAGGTGAATCTATCCTGAGTTGCGACGGTCTTGAAATTCGAGGTCAACGTAATGCTTTCATGCTAGGAAAGCTTATTTAACGATTTGATTGCAGTCAATCCTTTGTCAGTGCAACTTTGCTTACACCCTGTTAACTTCTCTGGAATTGCCTCGGCTTTTGGGGAAAGCTTTAGGCTCTTTGGGACTTTGGTTTTGATCTTGGTTTCTGGGACTTTGTCATGCTGCCATGGATTCTTGTTTGACCTATGCTTGTGGGTTATTTGCCTTTGGACCTTGGAAACTCTGCCTTTGTATTTAAGACTCCGTTTTGGGCTATTGAACTTTTGCAACCTTATGTCTATGTTTTTGATTTTGCTTTTTCTTCAATAAACTACAAAACCAACAGCCTTGGTGTGTGGTGTTGTTCTGAGCAAGGTGAATCTATCCTGAGTTGCGACAGTCTCGAAGTTCGAGGTCAATGTAATGCTTTTATGCTAGGAAAGCTTATTTAACAATCTGATTGCAGTCAATCCTTTGTCAGTGCAACTTTGTTTACACCCTGTTAACTTCTCTGGAATTGCCTCGGCTTTTGGGGAATCTATCCTGAGTTGCGACTGTCTCGAAGTTCAAGGTCGACGTAATGCTTTCATGCTAGGAAAGCTTATTTAACAATCTGATTGCAGTCAATCCTTTGTCAATGCAACTTTGCTTACACCCTGTTAACTTCTCTGGAATTGCCTCGGCTTTTGGGGAATCTATCCTGAGTTGCAACAGTCTCGTAGGTGTGTACGTGCCTCGGGCGACTCACTGAGCGTGTTTGCCTGGCAGGTCTTTGCCCGGGTGTCGGGTTCTCCTCCCCAACACCTTCCTCCCTCTTTCTACATACTGAATCTGGTTTTGTGCTTGCTGTTCCGAATTGAAATAGTTGTTGGTGGCAAAGCAGGAGGGGAGGCGGGGGGAAGGAGAAAGAAGCATGCATGCCCCTCCGGAGGAATGGAGAGTGCTTGCAAAACAGTTTATTTATGACTCAGTAATCACAGAGAGGGCTCACATTCAGCCCCAGTGAGCTATCTTTCCCAGGCATTCCCTGGTAATTGACTGTGTTTCAGTCCTGGAGCTGCAATTACAAAG